AGGGGCTGGGAAGGTGGCTTAGTGGTAGAGCGCTTGCCTAGCATGCATGAAACCCTGGGTTCGATTCCTCAGTACCACATACACAGAAAAAGCCAGAAGTGGAGCCTGTGGCTCAACTGGTAGAGTGTTAGCCTTGAGCAAAAGCAGCTTAGGGACAGTGCCCAAGCCCTGAGTTCAAGCCCCAAGACTGGCAAAAAAAAAAGTTACTTAAATTCAATTGTAATAAATCCAAAAAGACAAGATGCTCATCTAAAGGATGTTTGTTTTTTTTTTCTTCCAGAAAACTGGTTCTAGTGGTACAGAACTTGAAGTTGTAAGTTATGTGGAAGAATGTGGAATGGAGGTCTTGGAACACTCTGTGTTTTGATGGTCACTGTGGCATTCTCAAGCAACACTCTCACGCACGATTCTGCAATAAGAATAGGACAGCTGTTTCTTGGACAACAGGTGTTCACAATTGACTGCATATACAGTGTAGCCACAAGACAATACCTTAGGATGGATAGGTCTGAAAGTGTGCGTGCTTCATCAAGATCTCCCTGTTCTTGGCAACGTGACCAACTAATCGAGTATTCTGTTGCTTATTTCATCCTGATTTGATACAGTGAGACACTTCCTTGCACCTGCCAAATGTTGCAATTTGCATGACTCACCTCAAACTTCTATGTACAAGTGACAGTAGTGAGTTGAAAGGACCCCCAGATCAACAATCAACCTCCTGAGCTGGAGCCAGTGGCTCACGCCTGTAAGCCTAGCTACTTGGGAGGCTGAGATCTGAGGATCATGCTTCAAAGTCAGCCCGGGCAGGAAAGTCTGAGAGACTCTTACCTCCAATAAACCACCAGAGAACCGGAAGTGGAGCTGTGGCCAAAGTGGTAGAGCTCTCGCCTTGAGCTGAAGAACTGAAGGACAGTGCCTAGGCCTAGAATTCAAGCCCCCTACCACCACCACCACCACCACCACCAAAAAGAATCAGCCTCCTAAGAAGATATCTGCTGCCAAACCTCAGAGCAATTGATGCTGTATCTACCTAGCTCTTAAGTCCCGGAGCATTCCCACAGGCCAGCCCATTAAGCATTCCAATCTGTAGGGAGATTTCTCTTCTCTTCATCATCTTCTATGAGTTTGCATCGTACAGGCCTTTTCAGGAGCAGAAGGTGGAATCAAGCACAGCGGTGTTCTGGGCGGCGATGGGGGCAATGGTGATGATTGTACAGGTTCTGGAAGTCCCGCCATGAGCACACTCCTTTTTTTTTTTTTTTGGTTCTGGGACTTGAACTCTGGGCCTGGGCGCTGTCCCTGAACTCCTTTTGCTCAAAGCTAGCACTTTACTACTTGAGCCACAGGGCCACTTGTGGCTTTTTCTGAGCAGTTGATTGGAGATAAGAGTCTCAGGGACTTTCCTGCCCGGGCTGGCTTTGAACTGTGATCCTCAAATCTCAGCTTCCTGAGTAGCCACTAGCGCCCAGCTTCATGGCACACTCTCGATGTGCTTTCTGGAGTTGGTTTAGTCCGTTATGATCCTCCAAAGGGGATGCAGTGACTACTACATCTAATTTTTCTAGCAGAATTCTAGCCGAGGCTGGGCTCACAACAAAAAGCATAGCATTTGCCGCAGCTGCCAATTACCAGTTGTTCAACCCAAGTGGCAAATGCCAGAACTTCACACCTCACTCTCTCCTCTTGATAAGCCTGCCGTTGCCTTCCATTTCATGGAATTTGACTGCCAGTTGGCAGAAGCAGCTACTGAGGGAGGGGTGAGGAATGGATACAAGGATCCTGTGGTGCCAGTAATGAGGAGAGGACTGTCAGGAAAAAATAAAGCTTGCTTAGACATGGACCAGGAAGGCAAGACTCACTGAGTGCTCAGGTAACTGGCAAACTTGTTTGCTCACTCAATCCATGGAGAATCTCTGATGGTCGTCTTCAGAAACCCTCATGTACAAATATGAAGGGACTCTGGTCAGGTGTTCTCAAGATGAACATGTATCAGAGGTCCTTGGAGGGCATCTACCACACCAGAGACTGGGCTCCGGTCCTCAGGCTCTGAACAGGGTGACCTGCATCTGAAAGTTTGCATGGCCAACAAGTTAATTCCTGTGTGATGCTTATTTTACGTTGCTGGTCTGGAGACGGCTTTGAGAAGCACAGCTCTGCGCAATTCTTAGGACTATCACCATCACTCAATGAAGGAATGTGATGACAAAGCCAGCTACCCCGTGAGCTCCTATCATCCTTCCTGAGCTGGCGCTACCATCTTGTCCTGGTGTGTGTGTTCATGAGTGCTAGTGTGTGTGTGTGTGTGTGTGCGTGCGTGTGTGTGTGTGTTTATGAGTGCTAGTGTGTGTGTGTGTGCGTTTGTGTGTGTGTGTGTGTTTATGTGTGCTAGTGTGTGTGTGTGTGTGTGTGTGTGTGTGTACCCCAGTGCAGCCTGGTTCATGTGGGCTGTGAGCTTGTTCTTCCTTTTTCTTGGCTTATGGAACTTGTGCTTATTCTTTGGGAACCTGTATCCAACATCACCTCCTCCATGAAGCCTTCAAAAGCAGACTTGGCTGATGTTGCCACTAACTCTCATTCTGAGCCTCTTCCCTTTCTTGGCGCAAGGATGGACCACCAATAGCTATGTTGTCTCTCCATCAGACTGTGAGCTCCAGGGACAAGGAGAACAAGTGAGATGCATCTCATCTGCAAAGCCTCACCTATACTTGACCTTGAAGAACTATAAAGGGCAAGTGGACTTGCTCAGTCCTAGTGTCACACCTTGCTGGCTGAAATTCAGTAATATTTGGCATGGATCCTGAAGGCCTATATACAGCATCATGGAGGTGAATAAGATATGTCTTGTGGTAGTATAGTAGATAGCGATCCTGTGTACTTGGCCATTAGTCTACCATGCCCTGGATGTCTTTTGGTTGGTATGGTGAAGTAACAATGTACAAATGGCTCTGTAAGAGGAACTGGACTCCAGAAGTGGTTCGTCTTGTGGGTATATTGTTCTCATCAGCCAAGATGGTGCAACAGAGAGTTTGGGCATTCATGTATTGGTGAAAGGCCACTCCTCACAGACTGAAAAAGCTGAGATCCAGATCCTCTTCCATCATCCTAGGGCGGAAAAGCCCCTGCCTCTGGGTTCCCTCAGCCAGGGGACCAGAGCCAACACAGAGATCCTCTAACATACAATTTTAGCTCAGTTCCGTTTGTCAGCATTTAGAATTCATGGTGTGCAGTCTGGGCATGGTGCTGGGGAGCCTGGAGGGAGACCTGAGGGGGATGTTCACATTTGCCAACAGCTCTGTCTCCCGAACCTCATTGAAATGGCCAAGGCTTTCAAGCGCTTTATGCAGACGAAGGAAGAATCCACGTGGGCAAAGAACATCCTGATTAAAAATCCAAACATTTTCTTGGTGAGACTTGTATGTGTCAGGACCATCTGTTAGTGGAATTAATAAACCCTGGGTGTTAATTTGTTAAAGAAAGAAAGAAAAAGCCAGCTATCTGGAAGCTAAAACAAAGATCTGAAAGCAATCTTGGATGGCCCAACAAAGGTGAAGAGCCTAATTAGCACAGGTTTGTTAGCCCAGGGATCTTTGGGACAATGATTATGGATTCATTTCTGATGAGGAGCTCTAGTTTCAGGGTACCAACCATTCTAAAACCCTCTCAGAATTTTATGTTGAGATAGGCAATCTTGGGTTTTCTCATGACTCCTCTGGTGTAGGTCATAGAGATGATTCTGAGAGGGACATATTCAGGAGAGAAGTGAGCTGTTCAAAACTGGAGAGGGGTAGCTGCCTCAGGTCTCCCCTAAATATTTTTCTCTCTGTCCTCACTTTAGTCTTCACAATCAGTGTAGCCTCTGAACTGCATTTCCGGCTTTCAGTATTTCCTCTCCGTTAAAGGCCCTATCTGCTTCTATCACCCGAAGGAATTCCTCCTTATCTTCAAATTAAACCTCTTGGAGAGAGAAAAAAAAACTCCACTAAGGTTTGGCTTGTCAGCTTTCTGGAGAAATCCTGCAAAAACACAACCTCTGTTCAGATCAACATCTTCATTGTTTCTCTGCCAGCACCATGAGGGCTCATCTCTTCATGATTCTGCTTAAGCTTTCTTTATTGAAAAAGAAAAAGGAAAAAACAACAACCAAAGACTTTTCCCATTTATTCTCCTCTTGATAACACTTTATCTTCTAAGACTCAGCTCTTTGCCAGGAAGAAGTCTTCCCTCAATTTCTGGTTTGCACCAAATGTTCATTTATGTTACTCCGATACTTTTTTTTTTTTAAACGTGTGTGTGTGTGTGTGTGTGTGTGTGTGTGTGTGTGCATACACACCCATCCTGGGACTTGAACTCAGGGCCTGGGTGCTGTCCCAGAGCTTTTGTCCTCAAGGCTAGCACTCTACCAGTTGAGCCACAGCTCCACTTCTGGCTTTTGGGTAAGTAAGTGGAGATAAGGAAAAGGAAGTGAGTTCATGATATGCATTTCAGATTAGAAAGCAATATTCCACTTAGATTCTGCAGAAGCAAGCTCTGTGAAATGCTTTCTCATTAAAGCTGCAGAGTTATCTACCTTCAAACACCAGAAAGATCTTGGAAGTTTGAATGTGAAGTTAATGACTTCAATAGAAATGTTCCTTCCTGCATAGGCTTGTAAGGTTCAGCAAATAAAAATAGAGGTGGACTAGTTAAATTTGAATTTCAGATAAATATTATATAGGACATATATTAAAAAATAGTATACATTAAAACATCTGAAATCTAGGTTTAAGTGAGTGTCCTTCGTTTGGAATCTTGGTCTTGCAAGAATACTAGTTTGAAAAAAGAGCTAGCCACACTCATACACTGTGGTCAAAGAAAGGCAGCATCCCAATTAGACCTTTCAAAAAGAGAGAGAGAGAGAAAGGAAGAAAGGAAGAGAGAGAGAGAGAGAGAGAGAGAGAGAGGAGAGAATATCTCTAGCACCTGAGCTGTGTAGGTCTTTCTGACGGAATCCTGGAAGCTTAGCCTAAGGCCAGTTACTTTTTAATCTTAGTATATATTCTCCTTGGAACCTCCTTTCTTGTTTTACCAGCACATCTATCTACCTTTCATCTGCCTACCTATCAACCATCTCTCTCTCTCTCTCTCTCTCTCTCTCTCTTTCTCCATTTGCTGTTATGTTTCTTCTATTACCTATTATCTATCTCCTATAATAATCTACCTATCATCTTATCAACCATCTATATCTATCTATCTATCTATCTATCTATCTATCTATCTATCTATCTATCTATCTATCTGTCTGTCTGTCTGTCTGTCTCTCCATTTGCTGTTGTGTTTCTTCTATTACCTATTATCTATCTCCTATAATCTGTCATCTATCTTCTACATCTATCATGTCTATTTGTTATCTTTTTGTCATATATCCATCATATGTATCTACTTACCATCTATCTTTTATCTTCTATTTGTCATCTATCTTCTATTGTCTATATTTTCTATCATCTGTTATCGATCATCTACTATCAATCAATTCTCTTCTATCATCTATTTTCTATCATCTATATAACTATC